ATTGAGAGCTGTTTTTTTAATATTTTTACAGGACCCTCCTCCTTTGCCATATCTCGCAGAAAAGATATCCAAAAACTATGACATTTCCTTGGAGGTACTCTTAACTCTCTGTTCCATATTATGGTTATGTTTCCTTTCCATATGATATGGGAAGAACGAATTTAATGTATTGTTTGTTTGTTGGGGATATGGAACACAGTAAAAAAAAATCTTTCTTGAGACTCTTTTACTGAAGTACTAAACCTGATTGTTGGCAAAATAGAACATGGAGTATCCTATTCAATTTAAGAATTGTCATCCATTTTTTATTGTGCAAGGTTCTCATTAAACTTGCTGGGAAAGAAGATTCATGTACAGTCACAAAAAGCAACTTCAAGCACTTGTAAGTAGTTTGATCCCCATTTCTTTCAATAATTGGTTATATTATGTAGTTAAAATTACAAATATCCTTAGAAATTTTAAAATAACTTCATTAAGGCCTTACTTTCTGAACACGTGTACTTATCATTTAGATTTATATAGTAAAGTGCATTTAACCACTCTGCTTTTATAAATTTAATGTTTAACCAAACAATGTCATGGTAATGGGTAATAATTTTTTATTTCTAACCTGTTTTGACTCTCCTTTCTACTATATTAGACACTTTCTTGTCTTTCACAAAATATACTCCATATTATACATTTTCTCGTTTTTTCACAAAAGGGTAATTCGGTTTCAAAAATTGCTTCTCTAATTTCATTTATGATGTCTTCACACACACACAAACACACACATTTAGTTGAGGCAGAAAAGTTAATCATGTCTTCCAGTGGTTTCCAAACTTGAAAAGTTATTTGGCTTTAAACAGATGAATTTTCATTGTAATTCAGAACATCAGAGTGCTCTATAAGCCTAGAAGTGTTTTTTCCCTAGAAGTATCCAAAGGAGTGCATTTCAGTTTCAGAAATGTTGCATGATAGATTGGTCGTCATAGATCTACATTCCCTAGTCAATCTTAACAGCCATGTTCCATGAATACGGAAACCATCTCAACTCATTGCCATTTGTCCATTCCATAATTTCCATGCTAGTAGAAAAAACTATGATGATGGCAGTGTTGGAATATCATTTAATTATTTATTCTTTATTTGCGGCACAACGGGTATTTCAGTTTAAAGCTTTCTCACCTTGCCTCTTCTGAGTTTATATAGTGTTTACTAATTTCAGATTATTAAATGACATACACTATAACAGATCATTTGAGAAGGAACTCTAGGGAGGTATATGGCGTAATGGATACTTGGGAAAATAATATGTGAGGAATACAGAAGGAATGTCAATTTTATTGTTTAGTTGTTAGGGATAAAATGTTGAGATAAATATGTAAAATATCCCATTGATTCATCAACATCAAAATTATTAGTGATTAAGTAGTATATATATCATGTTCCAACCAAATGACCCACAAATTAGTGTCAATCTTACTCCTATGGATTGTTGGTGCTACCTTTTTTACTTTTCTGATTTGCTTTTCTTTATGGTACAGATATTGGACAATAACACAACAACTTGCACACCATACTGTCAATGGTTGCAATCTAAGGCCCGGTGATCTTCTAGGATCAGGGACTATCAGTGGACCTGTAAGCAACTTTAGTTGACATGGTGGTAGTGTGATTCACTTTCATGAACTCTTGGTGACCGATCAAAGCCATTATTTTCAGTTTATCAGACTTATCTGCCAGATTTTTTTTTACCAAACACAAACACTAACTTTTTGACTGTGTGTAGCTGAATTGGGGCTTTTTAGCAGATTCTGCCAATTCAGCTATATCAGCCAGAACTTCAGTAATTTGAGAAAATTCGGCCATTTTGAGCCATTTTATGCATTACCAAATGGGCTCTTAACTTTTTTTGACACGATGGTCGTGTAATTAATGCAGGAACCGGGATCCCTTGGCTGCTTGTTAGAGTTAACTTGGAATGGACAAAAACCATTGTCTCTGGGTGGAGTGACTCGAACGTTCTTAGAAGACGGGGATGAAGTCATTCTCACTGGCTACTGCAAGGTTCCAATTCTTTTACTTTATCACTCCATATTTTATACTCCATTAAAAAAATCACATTTGTAATACAACAACAAACCCACTAAAATTCCACAGAGTGGGGTTTGGGTAGGGTGAGTGTATGCAGACCTTACCCCTACATGGGATGTAGAGTCATGCTTGTAATACTGAAATCCATATCACCAATCCCATTATTGTTTCAAGGCAGAATTTCAGTATTACAAACAAGGCTCGTTTTTTGGGACAGGTAGCACACGATTTTTCATTTTTTTGGGACATAGGTAGCACATACTCGTAATAGTTTTTCTCATAATCCAGCAATTTAATTAATCAAAATCAGCAAAATTTACTATTACATATTCCTTTTTTCCCCTTCTAATTACATAATGCAGCTAATCCCCGCATTTCCTCCTCCATTTAAACAATCGGGTAGCGTGTAGTAGAAACTATTGTGTCGAGTTTCAATTTTTTTGGTCTTGTTTCTAATAACAGGGAGATGGGTACAAGTTAGGTTTTGGTGCATGCTCTGGAAAGATCATTCCATCACCTCATTGAGACACACTGATTCAATGCTGGCTTTGTTCCAAAATTTGTAATCTTTTTATTGGTTGGTTTATCCGAATGTAAAATTTGATTGATGCGTGGCGGCAAACTCTCCCTTCTATTTCTATTAAATAATACTCCGCACATAAGAATAATTCATAAGTTGGCCCATGCTTTGCAAAGAGAGCATAGACGATGATTATTTTTGACTGTTTGTGCAAAAGTCACCCATGAGGGGGTTTCCTGGCTTTATGGCTCATCGAATGGATTTCACGCTTTATCACGATTGTAGTTGGGCATACGCTAGGCTTTATTGGGCTTGGTCAAAAAAATAATGCCCCAAAGTTCGAACTAGGGGTGTGCACAATTTGGTAAACCGACCGAACCGAACCGAAACCGAACAATTTGGTACGTATCGAAACCGAACCGAATAATTCGGTTCGGTATTCGGTTCTCATATTTTGAAAAAATCGGTTTTCGGTTCGGTACAAAATTTAGAACCGGTATTTCGGTAAAAACTGAATACCGAAATTATTTAATACTTATTTATAATTTTATCCTTTGCTACTCAATTCAATTCCTAATATTTATCCCAATATTGAAATAATGAATATTCACCCCACTAATTTTAAGTCCTATTATCTAAATTTGGAGTTATTTAAGATTGGAAATCATGAAAGCATCAAATTAATAATACTGATAACTGTTTTTATATTTTGGAATGGACAATTCTGTTATTTGTATCAACTATTTTGTTTAATTTATGTAATGGTTCGAATTGTGTTGCTTTATTTTAATTTTGGAGTGTGTAATGGACTTATATATAATGGATTATGCTTTATTATTTTCAATTTGGAGAATGAAATGAATTTTTTAAAGTTCAAATTTTGGTTTATGTTTGGTTTTTGGTAAAACCGATTACCAAACCGATTTAATTTGGTTTTTACCGAACCGAACCATTTGATTTCGGTTCGGTATTTGGTACAAAAAATAAATTACCGAAATTTCGGTAAACCGAAATTTTTGTTCGGTTCGGTTCGGTTTTACCGAATGAACACCCCTAGTTCGAACTTTGAAAAACCAAAAATCATGCTTAGTGGTGAGCAAATTGCCCTTTCTTTCTTCGGGAGATTTCCTTGCATGTGTAAAGTTGTTGTATCTATTTCGTTTATATGTAACTTGAACATTCACTTTCCCATATAAAGCACACCGGAGTAGCTTATTCCATTGCATTTGAAATATATAGGTAGACGGAGTGGGCTACTCCGTTTCACTTATTCAATTTACGAGATAGAGTAAGCTACTCCGTTTCTATCATTATTGTTTTATCAATTTCTCATATTTAGTTTACACATATGAAGAAACAAAAAAAAGACTCTTATGCAAAGCGAAGTAAAATCTTAAGTTTTTTCAACTCATTTTACTTAAAGGTTAATATATAAATAAAAATAAATTTAGATATTTAAAAAATACATCAAATTTCTACAAAACAAGAAGCAATAAAAATATTTTATTTCATCAAATAATCAATAAAACACACAAATAAATAAAAGATCTTGTGATTTTTTGAATAGTAAAGTATGTAAATCATTTAGAAACGAAAAGAGTACAATACTACAAATTAATTTACATAGAAATAAACATTAATAAAGCAAACATAAATAAAGAAAATATGTATACAAAGAATCTACTAATAAAAAATCATAAATAACAAGTCAAACATGCATACAAAGAAATAAAAATAATAATAAAATCACTACAAGTTTATTTGTGGGCGTTAATATTATTCTACGTAGATTAGAGATGTTGTGTAGATCATGGTAATTAAACCCATACGGAGTTGGCTACTCCGTTTCCCAAATAAAGAAACTCAAACAGATTAGCCCACTATGTTTCCCAAATAAATAAACTCGAATGGCTTAGACTACTTCATTTCAATAATTTTTCAGAAATAGAGTAAGCAACTCCGTTTTACCTTGTCAGGAACACCAATTTTTTTATTTACATATGTAGGGAGTTTTCTCTTTTTCTTCACTTGAGTTTGCGAAGTTTAATTTATTTTCTTCTGAATAACATAGACTATGAAAGTTAATAAATATTAATAGAATGATCTTGGATTGGACCTTTGTTATTACTAGAGCTGGCAAATTGCTCGGTCACTTTGGATTCGAGTTCAATTACTTAGGATTTGGGTAAGTTTGGATTGAGGCTGAGACAAAAAAAATTATTTTATCAGAGACTTATTTTGAAATTGGGAAATTTTAGTACGAGATTAATATTGATGTAAAATCCGAATCGAATCCGCTAATTACTCCGTTTGAGCCAATACTTATCGCTGGTTGAGGCCCAGTGGCCCACATAAAGTAAAAGCCTCATTGTGCGGCCTCTAACGACGTCGTTTCCGCGATACGCGCGAACTTGGACCCCACAAATCATACCCTCTTTAACTTCTAGTTGCTCTACTATTCCCTTACCTAGTTTCTTTCTCTTTACCGTTGATCTCGCCGCCGCCGTCGTCAACCACTACCGCGGCCGCCGCCGCCGCAGCAGCACTATTTTCTTCCCGATGACAGGCTGTGCTCAAACATTTCTCAATGAACACTCTGCCCCCCGTTCCCAGAGAAATTCCTTCCGAGTTCCCATCCAGTCCCCGTCAGACGATGATCAAGGGCAGGAACGAACCACCGCATCCAATGAAATCGCCGACGCAGCTGTTAAGATACAGTCAGCTTACCGATCTCACGTGGTCCGCAGGCTCGTCAGGAAGATCTCAGCCGTCTTTCACGAAGCCGCTCATCTACAATGCGTCATTCAACGGCAGGCACGTAATTCGCACTCCCCTCTTTTGTAATTTCCAAATTTAAGTTAGCATCCGTTTGATACATGGAAGTGAAACTATGAAATTAGGATTTGAGACAAGAATTCCAATTTTGTTGTTTTGTAGCACAAAAGTACCTGGATTTGGAATTGGTAGGGCCAAAAATGAATTGGAATTTGAAAATTCAATTCCATTCAAATCAATTCTGTGTACCAAATGGACCCTTATTGTATTCATACTGCTTCTGACTTTATTTAATTTCAATGCACTAAACTTAGTGCAAAATGAAAGGGTGTCTGTTGGGGAAGCAGAAATGAAACTCAGTTATGGCCAAATATTTGTATGCAAAGAAATCTACTTAAATATTTAGACTAAAACTCTGCATTATGTTTTGAGATTATTTGGCAATAGGTATAAAATCATTGATGGTGGGAACAACGGTATCATTGGATTAATGTAGCATTACACTTGTTTAAGAGAGTCTGTTTCAGTGAAGCTTTAAATATTTCAGGCTGTTATAGCTGATAATATGCATAACAAAATATTTTCTCTTTCACTTTCACTTGTGAGTTATCACTAATATTTGAGAAGCTTATAAACTCACTTTAAGTCTTTAAGAAAAAGAAAACAAGTATTCCGTTTGTTTAGTTTCACTATGTTCAATTCATTTCAATAAGCTAGATGATGCATACTCCTCTGATTCTTAAATGACTGTCTATTACTCTATTATGACATTTTAGATGTACTAGATTTGAATGAATGTGAACAAACTTTATGCTTACATTCATTTGATTCTTAATTTGTCAAGAAAGTCATATTAGACAGTTATGTATGAATGGAGGGAGTATTCGTTTATCAACCCATTTTAATTAGTTTATCAACGGAGGGAGTACTACTTATCTTAGTTCATTGAAAAAGAGACCTGAATATTTTGACAGAAAAATGTCCATGATTGTGTTTACTGTTTAGAATGTTTGACCAAAGCCATCTTCAATTCAATTTATGTGAAAATTGGTGTCAAACTAAAAAATGTTTTCTTGTAAGATTAAAATATATAAAAACTCTATCAAAAGGTCTACAAAACAAGAGTTGATATAACTATTTTATTTTATCGAATGATCCGTGAAAATACTTGAGAAAAGAAGATATGGATGGCAGGATACAGTTGATGCGGTGAGGAGCAATGAGCGAGAGAGGATTAGGATGAACGAAGCTTTGATGGGATTATTGCTTAGATTAGACTCTGTTCCCGGAGTCGATCCAACTGTCAGGGATCTGAGGAGGAGTGTGAGCCGCAAGATTGTGGGGCTTCAAGAGATACTGGATGCTGTTTCTGCTGCAAGCATTGAGAGCTGGGATGGTTTCTTGAGGGACTGGGATGAAGATCTTGTGAAGATCGAAAACGATGCATGCAATGGAAATGGGAATGGAGACATTGAGAGGTTTTGCGCCCAGTATTTAGGGTTTCGATGCCTTCAACAGTTTCTTCATGACCAATGGTGACCGTGCCACTCGCTCTTGATCTCTATAATCTATCAATATTTCCTACATTGTTATTCCTTGCTTCTTTCTCTGTGTGTTGTTAGGGTGTGAAGTCTGATTATATATAGTTGATGTACTATCAAATATATCCCATTTGTGTAGATATATTTGATTATATCGTGTATTCTCTGTAATTGTACATATTTCAAATCATCAATATATAGTCCTACCGTCATGAAGTTGTGAGATCCTTACAAGTGTGTGTAAGATAAATATAAATATGAGTAAAGTTGCTTGTGTACATTTTTTGTTAATTTCTCACCATTTGAATGTCCGTGAGGCCGATGTGCCTTCTGATTAAAGATTTTAACTAATGATATCCTTAAAACATAGATCCGGGTCTCTTGTTAATAACTATGAGCCAGGGTCTCTTGGAAAAAGCATATATACTGCAGAGTAGGGGGAAGGTTACGTACAGATACCCTATCTGCACCCTGCGTTAACATTTTATTGAGCTTGTTTTTGTTTTTGCTGTTGTGTTAATCCTTAAAGCTTTGCTAAAAAAAGAGTGCTTTGGCTGTAGTACATAGCTAATCAACCCAAAGTGTGTGATAGTTATTCAAGGTCGATTAGCTGAGCTGCTGTTTCTAACACTTGTTCTATGTTTATTTTCACGATTCTTTGAAAGCCAAGTGTATCTGGGTTTAGTTTCTGAGAACAAAAGCGTACGGTTGAAAATTGTTGGAAAAGACTGGTCTCAACATGTTCTTTTTTTGGACAAGCAAACAGGTATGCATAGTTACACAAAGCAATTAACTTGTTGCATGCCAAGTTTGGCACCAAAGAAGGATCTCTTGCTTGTGAGATGCTATGTTTGTTCACAATTCAGAGACAAGAGATATCAAAATTCATCTTTGGCTTTAAACTTGGTGTGCAACAAGAATTGTCCTACAAAAAGACATACACACATATATGTTTCAGACAGAACAGCTGCATTTGCACTGTGATAAGCAGTGCTTACAATCAGACAGCCTCGGAAAGCTGCCAGTATTGCAGTCGCATTTCTTGGCACACTTGAAGCGGGCAGACCATCCGCTGCCCCACAGGCACCGTGACATGCACTGCATGATGGGGCAGCATTTCGGGCAGTCTTTCATCATCTTATCTACTATGCAGCCCCGACACCCTCCACCACCACCACCGCATGCAGAGGAAGGGGAAGGCATCTCCCACAGCAGTATCATAATAATGCTCCCAAAGGCCAACAACTTAAGAGGTAACTTCCCTTCCATTTCTATATATCTTTGTTTGTGGACAGTTCACCTAGGCTCAGGCCTCAGGCTATTTATAACAGGGTAATTACCAATTGATCCCTAAGAATTATTAAAATTGCAAACAAACCCATGGAGTAGTCAATTATTCTTTGCAAAAACGGTCGCAGTGAAAGATTGTAGAACAGCTTGGTGAAATTAAACATGTTGGATCAGAATTCAGAACTGTTGACTTCATGGTTCTGTGTAGCCATTAATTAAACCTGCATTTATGTGCTTTTTTCTGAAAGTTGGCTATGCTTTGGGTTGCTCAATTTTATCATCTCCTCTTTATGGCATATATACTCCCTCCGTCCCAAAACTAAAAGACACAGTTTGACTTTAGATTAAGACAAATTTTAAAGTGATGGCAACTTTCCAATTTTGCCCCTAGTATGACTTTGATGTGATATGGTTAGAAAAAGAGGGTGTAAAAGTAGTTTTGGAAGAAGAGAGTGTAAAAGTAATTGAAAAAGTTAGGGCGGGTGAGTCAAAAAATAAGAGTGTAAAACTGATTGTTAATGTAGAAAAGATGATTTAAAAGGTAGGGGTGTTATACAGAGTTGTACTCCGTATTTTTTAGTGGGTTGTTTGTGCCAAATATAAGTGTGACTTTAGTTTTCGAATGCCCAATTTAAAAAAGAATAAATTCTATAAATGGTCTCGAATTACAAGTAGTTTTCCATATTTAGTTTTCAATTCTTAGATATTCGATAAGTAGTTTTCAATTTTTGAAAATTATTTCATAATCAGTCCTTCAGGACCATTTGCGGAAAATTATATTTTCTCATAAATACTCTGTAATTGATGTATTGCAATGCTTGCAATTTTGAGCTGGGACATAGGGACTTAAATATTTTCTCATTGCAACTTTAGTGTTGGGACATAGGGAGTATATATATAGTACTCCGTAATTGATGTATTGCAATGCTTAAAGATAAAGGTGCACATAACACTAGTAAAATGCTCAAGTCACATCACCCCGACCTTCTCGCAGACACTCAGGCATTAGAGAGTAACGGGTGTCTATATATACATTACAGAGTAACGGATGTGTGTAGATATTTGTGAGAAAGGTGGGGTGCCCTTAGCACGGTCCATCAGTCATCACATTATTAGTCTATAGATTAACCTTGGGAGTAGAAGAAACGAAAATACTTGGGGGGATTTCAAGAATTGCACATTAAGTGCACACCAAGACAAACACAGAAAAGCACAGACACTCAATTGTCTATGCACGCACAGACATTGAGCGTCTACCTACGTCTCTGTTTGTTTGTCTTGGTGTGCAATTCTCAGGGTCCTCTTAGCACCATCCTAGAAGAAAAGTGTGTGATCAAAAGAAAGGACATGTAATATTATTTGGACTAACTAATTTATGATGCTTGAGAGTCTCAATGAATGCAAGACACTCATTGCACGCTTTCACATCAACCTTATTCTTCAGCATTGGTGGGAAAAATAGCCAAAAACTAGTAACCATTATAAATGACAAAACCAATGGCCCTGACACATAACCAGCAAGCTTGAATTTCCCATCCAGGGATTTCTTGATCCAAATCTCCACACACAAACACGCCCCATGCAGGAGGAAGAAGCACAGCACCTCGCCGCTCGGCTTCTCCCTCCCCATGTGGTAGAACACGAACTCGTGCATGACCCCCGAGACAAGGAACGTCGCCATCACCGCCGCGAGCCGGGCCCACCGTCCCGGCACGATGCGGGCCCACGCGGACCGGACCGGGCCGTACACCGCGGGGCGCATGATGTTGGTCACCATCAAGTTCCACCTCCTCCCCCAGAAGTCCTGGAGCGAGGTGGCGAGGTGGGGCTCGTCGAACGGCGGGTCCAGCTCGACTCCCGACACTCTCCCCGCCACGTACCCCACCGCGACCAGCGCCAGCTCCAGGACGAAGTAAATGTGGAGGCCGTACAAGACGAGCACCACCTTCGGGTGCATCCGTTCCCGGTACCCGTACCCGCGGATCAACACCGCCAAGAGCACGAGTTTCACGGCACGGCCGACCGAAGAAGACTTCCGGGTTTTATCCGATCCCGAATCAACGGTTCTCCCCGCAGCGAGAACCGTTGATCCGGGTCCGCTAACGGTGACGGGTTTTCGGAACTTGATGGGCAAGCAAGCCAAGGGGATGAAGGAGGAGAGGGGGAGGGGAGGGGAGGAGGCCAAAGGGCCAAGGCCAAGGGCAAAAAGGAAGAGTTTGAAGCTTGCTAACCAAGCAATGAAGAAACAAGAGGTTGTGCCAAGAGTCACAGAGGTGAGGTTGAAAGGGAGGAGGAAGAAGAGGGAGACAATGGGGAGAATGGCTAGGGCTCTTGTTAGGGCGTGTTTGGGCGGGAGGAAATTGGCGGCGGCGTGGCAATAACACAGAGAAGCCACGACGGTCGACCACACGATGATCAAGTTCTTGATCTCGCCGCCGTCCATTGTTAAAAATGTTGTCCCAAACAGACCAGATCCGATCATCTTGTTTCAGGGAAACCTCAAAAAAAAATGGAGAGAAAAATGGGGGAGGTTTATTTAAAAAAAATTGGGGTCTTTGTTTATTTTGGGTGGTCAAAAACGTTGTGCCTACGCATTCCTACTTGGGGAAAAAATGAGTCGCAGTTTTCAACAGGGAAATGGGAGAAAACGATGACTTGCCTATTCTTGCGGTGCGCTTGTTTCCTTTAATTATTACCCCAAGTATTAAATATTTAAATAAAAAAAATGATGAACCCNTCTTGTCACCTCTTGCTTTGTAAAATTTTTGATGTAGTTTTTAAATATATAGACTCATTTTGAAATACAACTTAAGAAATGTTTTTTAAATCTCATAAAATGTTATACCCGAGTACATTTTCAATTTTACAGAATTGAGAAAAATATTTTAAAAAATGAAATTATGGGATTGCAAAATTGTTTAGAGGAAAGAAATTTTGTGACCCATGTTCATTTTTTCAAAAGAAAATTAAATTCGGAAATAGTTTTTGGACATTAAAAGGGAGAAATTTTTGTACCCCTTGAGATGTTAGAAGTACTCCGTATAAGTTTATCAAAGTTCCTAGCCTGCAAAAATACATGCATCCATTGGCAGGCCCACATGCAGAGAAGTGCTTTAAAAAAATCTCCATTCTATTTTAGTTCAACAGAGAAGTGCTCACGGTCAATAAAATATTATTGTGCCTTAATATTTTAATTTGCATATTTTGATTTTCAAAATGTTAGGTTTTATAGTTGTCATCCTAAGATTTTTTTCATTTTCTAATAACTTTTTCTAGTCGAATACCAAGTAAATTTAACTTTGAATACCGAGTACTAATTGATGGGAACATGTCCCATTAATATCAATGATTTTAAACCCGGACTGACGGGTCTCGGGTATATCCGGATTTTTTTGGGTCGATCCGGATTATTCTGAGTTTTTCCGGGTTTTGGGAGAGATGGACCGGACCGGTTGTGTATCTAGGATGCAGTTCGACCGGTTGGACCGCCTGGTCCAGTCTGGGTTTAATAACAGTGATTAATATAGAAATATTGACCTAGTAACTCATTAATGGCTCATTTGGTAGCTGTAAAAATATGAGATGATACTCCCTCTGTTCTTAAAAAAATGACACATTTATTTTTTCGACGATCGCTAGAATTTTTGTTTATTTGTTGTACACTTTTATTAGTTATTTGATAAAATAAAATATTCTTGACACCTCTTATTTCGAAGAACTTTTCATGTAGTATTTAAATATGTAAATTTTATTTTTTATTTTTATACTAATATTAAAATAAAATGAATTAAAATACTTGATATTTTGCCTCGTTTTAGAAATGTGGCAAACAAATAGGGATGGAGGGAGTATGTATTTTGATATATGGGAAAATGATAATCGTTAGAGTTTTGAAATTTGAAATGACGTTGTTTAAAAAATATTAAAATCATAATTTAACTAGTGATATACAGACATGACCGGCAACACGAGTGGTTGGCAATGATAATCGTAGTCGGTGGCAGGGGCGTGATCGAAACAAATCATTTAAAATAGGAGTAGAACATAATTTTTATCTCCAAAATAAGAGTGACATTTTTATCTCTAAAATGAGAGTTTACACTGTAACATTGTATTTTGTCATTCAATCAATCCAACTCGTCTTAAATGCATTCTATCACATTTAAGTAAAATAACCGATGTTCAAAAAACGTAAAATAAACCAAATTAATTGTTATATTTAATTTAATTAAAAAAATACTTTTTTCTTTTGTTAAATTAAATAAAATATATTTATAGATATGCAATCACAAAAAAATATAAAAATTGAAAAAAGTAAGAGATGTAGATGGTAGAGACCACCATTCTCTCATGAAAATGTGTACCCCTAGCATCCCTCTCATAAACTCAATTCTCTACTCAAAAGCTAAATTTAAAAATTTTTGCCTCATTTTCTCTTTGTAATTTCTCTTTGTAATGGTTAAAGCTAGCTTTTTAAGATTAAAGCTAGACTTAAACTAGACCTGGCAAAACAGAACCGAAACCGATTACCCGAACCGAAATATCCGAAATCGAAACCGGAATGACCCGAAAAATGAAGATCCGATCTATAACCGAAAATCCGAAATGATCCGAATCGAACCGAAACCGAACTAAATAATTCATATCCGATTTAAATCCGAAACCGATTAGATCCGAAACCGATAATATCCCAACCGATTAAACCTGAAACCGATTAGATCCAAACCCGATAATACCCGAAACCGATAAATCCGAAACCGATTAGATCTGAAACCGATAATATCCGAACCCGATTAGAACTAAAATCAATAAATTCAGAACTATGTTTGCCTTACAATAAGCATATTATATTTTTAAATTTTTACTTTTATTTTACCATTTGAACTAATTACATTACTTGCTCATTCCCTCATAAAATGGATTATCTTCTTAA